AAGCAAGTGCTATTGGAATTACTTCCGGGTCTTTGGTCAAGCGGCCATAGGTCACGCCGAATGCTTACTTTGAATAGCATTATTTTTACAAGCGGAGAGCAGTATACCTAACCGGACTGACATTACCTCCATCGAAGCTAGTAGATGTCGTTCATTGACTTTTCCAGCATTATGTTGTAGTTTACCTGAAGCGTCTCATGGGAGCACATGGTGAACGGCATCATCCGTCATCGAGCCCTCAATCTTCTTCGTATAAGCTTTTCTTAGGCTCGCTGGAAAAATTGCTCTTGTGTTTTTGGAGACACTTTAAATCTTTTATCCCGTGCCGTCTGCTCAACTGGAATTACTAAAGGCACAAACAGACAAGTGACTAGTATTTTTTCGGAAGCTTGCGGTTGTTTCCGATTCACTAAATGGAATTTGTGGAGAACACTATCTTAAGACTTTGCAGCAGAGTAGGTGTGTTAAGAGGGCTGAATAAACGATGGTTTTCCTAATTCGTCGGATACGTCGCCTTTGAAAGGCCCTTCGAAAAAGGAGCTACATTCCAGTAGATATCTGTCTGATCCTAGTGTAGGAAAATATTTATATCTTGTTCGAATAAGCATTTTCCTTTAGTACACTGTAAATCGTTTTTACTTCCACCTAGAGGAAATTCGAGCGAGGAAATCTTTGTAAATCTATTGATTACCAGAACTAGGGGGGCCATCTTATGACGGTAGAGGTGAGGGGACTTCGACAGTTCCAACAAAACCGAACATATCACCTGAAGCAGAAATGAGTATTGCGAAAAATAAATTTGGCGCTATTTCGTGCGATCATAATTTGTGAAGCTAGCCTAGAGAAAGACAGTACATATAATGCGGACACCTTTAACCCTGAGCCCAAATGGAATATGCGCGGTCTGATTTTAGCTCAGAAGTAACCTTGAAATCCTCATCTCAATGAAGACGTTTATCCTACGACAAAAAAGGAAGGCATTTCACAGAGACGCACCGTGGATATGCGAACAACGAGAATTGAGCCGAAAGGGTTCCAGTTGACAGCATCCAGCTCTTTGGAAACATTCAAATGGGTTAGCGGCCCATAAGCCAGCGAACTAACAGCATTCCCGTTAGAGGAGACAGCCGTGTTTATCAAACTGACCGTGGCTGGATTTTCAGGCTAGATCCATCGATAGATAGAGACATTCACTGGGGAAGTTGGAATGTCAAGGAGCAAACTAAAAATAAAAGAGACGAGTCCTCTCGATTTTATGGTGTAGGCATTTTAAACGTATACCTTCCGATTCACAGTAAAGGGAACATGCCATTTTTGAACTATTTGATCGTTTTCAGCTGTGGACGTGGACTGATGAGATGATCTATCAGAAGTTTGTAAGACACTCTTCGCCCGGCTCCACCCTCCAAAGCGTTACTGACTTTGGAGACCTTCATCGCAGACTAGACAGACAAATGTCTTCACAGGAACCCGAGCTCAATCGCCTGAGGAACCTAATACAGTCAATGCCTCCTTCACCAGAAAAGCAGGACCTCCAGGTGAGTATAAATATGCGCATATTTTTTCAAGGCAAATACCTTCTTTCAGAAAATAAGGCAAATGTTCGACCCTGGTTCCCTAGCTCGTCGTCTTTCTTGAGTAATTTTGAGAAAAACAGTCATTATTTCAATCAGGCTAAAAAATTCAAGACTTTTTTGATGTTTGCGCTAGTAAAGGACCACCATGTGCGTCATTCTTTATTGATTTATTTATTTTTCTTGAAATTTTATACGCGACATCTAAGTCAATGTGTTGATTGATGCATGATTCATCAGAGTGAATGGCTTCAAGAGCCTCGACCATTTTAGGGGGGTAGATGCCGACGATGCGGGTTTTGTTCCAGGCGAAGTTGTACCACGTATCACGGGTCCGCATGGCCGTTTAGGACTGATAGTCTCGCCTCTTATCTGATAGTTTATGTTCATAGATTCATGCGCAGGGAGAGTCTCAGTTTAGTCATAGTATACGGCATAACAGGCATCGCATAGGATCTGGTAGCTAACTCCTTTCTTATTAGGACAGCCAGCCCAGCCCTTAAGGTGTACATACCGAGGGCGTAAAGTAGTCGTCTTTTAGCGTGTTAATTTTATTTGGTGTTTCCGCAAGTGTCTATCAACGAGTGAAGACATATTACCAATGTAGGGAAGGATTTATTCTACATTAGTTTTAGGTGCCTGATTGGAAGTACATCCTTCTTTTTTGGACTTTTGTTGTTTCATACAAAGGCACACACGGTGCTAGGATAACCGTTCTGGAAAAATAATTAAAGCACACTTAAGCTTATCTCAGTAGTTTTCTTCATTAGAGCAATTTGTTTTTCTCGACGTAACAGATATTTGACGGTACGGCTATTATGAAAGACAGGTCTATTTCTTTCTTAGTGTAGAATTTATTTTGCCAATATTTCTTTGCAGTAAACGGATCTATGCAATGTCCAGTCAGACTTGCGTTGTACTTAAACATACAGAAATGGAAATATATTGTCAACCTTTTTTACAGGTGTGAATTTACTTCCCGAAATAGCTTTTGTGGAACCTTTCCAGTTAGTCCTGTTTAAAGACAACAAATGCCATCCAAAACTTAGGGTTAGCTAATAGAAGGGCATTGTAACTTCAAGAAGAATGTCTGACGACGACCTGGGGAACCAATGTCGAAAATGCACCCAATACATTTTCCTACTATTCCCCAAGAATGTATTTGGTTCCCTGTTATAAAATGAACATACATGTGTGGACAGATACGTTCCTTAAGAAAAAATAAGAAAATTTGGTGGGTAAATTTTGAAATTGGTTCCCTAGTTTGTCGACAGCCTTGAGTAAATAGGCAAAAACGGTTAACTCCAGACATAGGCTGATGAATGGCAGCTTGATAAACCTGTAGATTTAAGTGTCCTGTGAATGTAATTGCTGTTTAAGCCCCTCCAATTTCCAGTAATCTTTTGACCTGAATTAGTGCATCTATTTGCAAGTAAAAGCCAATCGCAGGCAGAGAGTTCAGTATGTTTAACCTTCTGCATTCCATTTCAGCGACGCCTGGATGAACTTTCTGACACCTGGACTCGCTACCGCAGGACCATACATATTCGCCTCAAGGTGGCCAATGACCTGAAGAGAATACTGCGGGAAGTTCGAGAGGACGACTACTACTTTGGCCTTTTCAACGACCGCCTTCAAACCATCCTCTCGAAGTCGCCAATAACTGATGGACTGGATTTCCACAACGGTCCGCAGTTGCATGAGACTGAGATAGCGAACATACAATCCGAGTTGCAGGACGTTACGTCGAGAATTGCAAATCAACAGCAAGCTCTAGAACGCGCCCTGGACAATGTAAGACATGTCTAAAATTGTCCTGTCCTTCAAAATGATAACCAAAACCCGCCGATATTTCAAACTGAAGTGACATGTTTTTGTCTTTCAGTTGCAGAGAGTTGAGGACGGAACACTGAACCCCTCAGAACCCGAAAATTTCTATCGCAATCAGATTCAAATTAATCTACAGCGCCTGCAGCAATTGGAGGATCAAGTGAACAACGTTCAGTCAAGCAAACCTTTGTGGCTCTCTTGGAACGACAAATTGGTTGATTTCGCCTCCTCAGCACAGAAGGTAGGTATTTCCCTTTCAGTCCTCTGATTCGGTTGCAGAGGGGAGGGGGGGAAGGAATGCCCCTAGGGTTTTTACACCTCTGTTTTGCACCTCTGATCTGCAGCTCGACGAAGTGATCGCCGCTTCCATGGCCAGAATGTCTCGCACTCCGCTGCCGAGAACAGGCCCAGAATTGGCTGATGCCCTTACTGCGCACAAACGGGATGCAGACCAGATTTATGCCCTTGTTAATCTCGTGAACAACCAAGCTGCCACACTGGCTGATCTCGTCTCTGCCCAGCCTGCCGACAAGTACCCAGAAGGCCCCCTCCGGGTCAGGAGGTATGTGGACTTGAACTTGGCGCCAGGGCCGCAGGAGAGCGAGGTTACGCGAAACGTCCGCTCGGAGTTGTGCATTACCACTGCCGGCCTTGAAACCAGGTCCACTGCCTGGGAGCGGATGTGGAACTCCAACAAGCAAATTCTTCAGAAAGTAGCCGAAAATATTGGCAGTCTGGAGTCCTTTGATGTGAGGCCCAACATCAACTTATTTTCTCACTTATTTTTCCCGCTAAGCATTTAAGTTAACTTGTTCCTATGTTTTTTAGGATATTGAACGCGATGTGCAAAATGCCGAGAACGAACTCAGAAACATAACCTATCTGGTGAACGTCGAGGCGAACATTCCGCAAATCGAGCGCGCAGATAGTGGCCTGCGGCACTTGGAAGCCACGATCCCGGTACATTATTGTTTATATAACACAGTCTATTTGTAACAAATAAGTAGACATATTTTATTATATGAAAATTTACCATGCCCGTTTGTAGGAACTGCAAGGCCGTGTTCGATCAGTTGCCTATCTACCAGGCATTGAGCCGATTCGTGGCCCTAATGACCTCCTGGAGATTACCTCTGCCGACATCGGACTCGAATCCTCGTTGCGAGAGCGACAACAGCAGTTGGAAATGCGCGTCTCGGATCTGTCCGCTGCAACCACCAATTGTCGTTCGGAGGTGAATTTGACGCTTCAGCTGCTGAAAGCAGTGGATGACGCTGAAAATCGTCTCTCCCAACTGACCATGAATTTGAATCAGCTTCGCAACCTGGATACACCAGATGCTCCACGACTGGTCAACGAACAGTTGATCGAAGCCCAGAAGTTAGCCCGTAGATATGTTCCTCAACTCGAGGCCCTTGCAAACCAATTTCCGAGTAAGTTTACATTTGCATTGATTTTTTACCATCGATGCGATAATACCTTATCTAAAATTAAACCTGGCAGGTGTGAGAGAGTATGTGCAAGTTTACTTGAACAACTTTTGATTTTACTGTATTCTTTTTTTAGCCGAAAAAGCTCTTGATAGAGTCCGTCCAGTACTGTCTCGACTGCAGGATTCGGTGGACGAGCTTGAGCAACTCTACGAAGAAACTCGGGTGCGGTCTGAGAAGTACATCAACCTTGATCGTCTGCGAGGGGAACAAGTACCTGACGACACATTGACTAGACGTCAAATTGAACCTCCGGATGAGGTGATGGAATTTCAGAAGACTCAACCGCCAACGGCGCCTCCTCCTCCGCCTCCCAGACCACCAAGTATCCTCGAGCCCCTCGCCAATATCCATGTTGTTGAGGGCACTCCGGTTACCCTGCGGACGGAATTCGATTCCGGCATACCACCCAGTACGTCATATTTACTTCGATTGTGAAAAATTCGTGGCATCGGTGATCCACACAGCAGGGGGGGGGAGTTTTGCGCAGCAAACGCTCTACCATTGAGCTGCGAGGCTCACCGTACACCGTGGGTTTAATCACACACTTGGGTCGATTTGCTTGCCCAGCTTTACTGCCCGTATGGAATCTATCAATACGGACGCAGTATGCTGACATCCAGGCAGGACTTACTAAGTAATCATCTAGGGTCCACCGGATGGACTACTAGGCTAACCTTGGTTGTTAGGGGGGTTCGGCAGATTTCAATAATTATGAAAAATTTGCGGCCTCGGTGGGAGCCTAACATCCACAGTAAGGGAGGCTTTTGCGCAGCCAACTCTCTACCATTGAGCTACGAGGACCAACGTGCGCCGTGAAGTTAATTGCACTTGGGTCGATTTGCTTGCAATTTATAGGTAGCTACTAATGTCAGAAATTATTACGGCGGGGACATAGGTTAAGTTCTCAAAACACAACATTTTGGGGTGAGTCCTGATATTGTACTGAACATGTTATTCAAAGGCTACCTACTTCGACGGAATAATTGCGTACCGCCTATTCTAGAAGCTGTTTACTGTTATATTAAAGTGGTTTTGCCTTTCTCCCATCGTAAGTGCCATTTGTTGATGGCATAGGCAGTTAACAGTGATTCTGCAGAAGGTGATTGACATCAAGTCAATTTTTTTATTAAACTTTCGGGACTGACCCTAAAAAGTAATATTCCGAACACTTAGAACTCAAAGTCCTTCCCTTAATGCTATCAACTCAGAATATTTCTGGACTTCATGAACCAGAAAACATGCAGACAATGCTGGTGGAATTGTAGGGGGGTCTGAGCCGTGGGTGTTCTCAGGGCGTTACAATTATCACGCCCAGTTCCGCATAAGAAGCGAACGAGGAAAGATCAGTATGAATTGCGCATTCTGTACAGAAACTGAGTGGTGGCCTGAAGCCCC